ACTCAATATAGACCTGATCTGCACATCCAAACGACATCTAATGTTTAGTGGTAAATGACCTTCCAAAAATATTGAAGTATTCAAATATTTTAATGTATGCTGATGATACTGTTCTTTTTTGTCTGATTTCAATATTGAATCTATTAATAGTCAGTTACAAGCAGAYCTTCAGACATTTCATGGTTGGCTTCAAGATAATATTTTGTCAGTTAATGTTAAAAAAACTGTGTGCATGTGTTTTTCCTCACCCAGGAGACATTTCAATATAACAAATCAACTCACTTTTTTAAACAAAACCCCTTGATATTGTCACTACCTACAAATATCTTGGAATTACTTTGGATTCTCATTTGACTTATCGTGATCATGTACAAGTCTTAACCACTAAGTTGAAACAGAAATTATACGTTTATTCAAAAAATTAGATCCAATCTGACATCTTCAGTTTCAAATATCTATCTTCATRCCATTATACTCTCAACCATGTCGTACTGTTTACCTGTTTGGTCTCTTACAACAAATGAAATCTTAGAACCCATAGTTAGGCTCTACAACAGGGCCTACAAAATTCATAAAAAAAACTTCCCGGTTGGACTCATCACTGTACAGTTCTTTCATTGTCTGATACCTTGACTTTTCAGAATTATGTTTTGTATAGTGGTATYAATTTATATTTTCAGATCTTCCAAGGTGCCCATTATGGAACTCTCTGTGCATTGTTGCCCAAATCAAATTCTGGAAGTGGTCATTCAACTAGATCTGTTACAAAAGGAAAACTGATATTATCAACTTTTAAAAACTGTTATGGCCAGCGGTCTTTCTTCTATGTTTATACTAAAGCATGGAATGACATTCCTCAAAACATAAAGTCCATTTCAAAACTACAGCCCTTTAAGAATCTTGTCTGCCATCTGCTGGACACTTTTTGTTGTGCTCATATTTAGACGTCCTATTTTGCAAATGCTGCCTTCCTGAAATTTGGTATGCTTGTTTGTCTTTGTGTCTATGGTGTAAAATTATGTGATTGTGATGCTGTAATTCTGAGTGTTTTATGTGCTGCAGAACAGGAAACTGTTGTAAAACAGCAATTATGCTGAGTCAGGCTTGATTTTTAATATTTTTTTCCTGTTAAATAAATAAATCAAATCAAATCAAACTCAAAAAACTAAAAAGTTCATTGAACAAAATACTGATCCATTTTTTAAACGCATGCTCACAATTTATTTGCTATCTGAAACTTCACAGCTAGATGCCACCAGATCACTGCTCCCATGTCTCACACACACACACACACACACACACACACACACACNTGTGTTACAGTTTGTGTTACAGTTTGTGTTACAGTTTGTGTTACACTCTGTGTTACAGTCTGTGTTACAGTCTGTGTTACAGTTTGTGTTACAGTTTGTGTTACAGTCTGTGTTACAGTTTGTGTTACAGTTTGTGTTACAGTTTGTGTTACAGTTTGTGTTACAGTCTGTTAACAGGTGGAAACAAACTAATCTGAATATGTCTGGAATCATGATTCAAATCTCAACATTTGCTTCTCTCTTCCCGCTGCAGGAAATCCAGGCACGCCCATTTGTCACCACCTTCTGGGAGAGGAACTTACCTTCAGTCGGTGGTCTGCTGAAGTTCCTGGGGGTCTCCACCGTTGTGTCTGCTGTTGCTGCAGCGGGCCTGTTGGCCTACAAGAAGGGTCTCCTCCCTCAACGGAGCTAAACCATGTTGTTGATCCACCTCTCAACAAGACACAAGTCAACACAAATTGTACTCATGCACTTCTTTATGTCTCAAGTGAACTACATAAGTTGTTTGTTTTATTTTAAACAGCTGCTTTGTAAAAGACTGTTGAACTTGTGCAACAACAGTGACGCACTTTTAATGTCTGTAGTGTGTTCACAGAGTGACGAGCTGCTTTGAGTTTATGAAACGTTTGTTGAGAGGAACGAAAAAAAACACATTTTCAGCTTTTAATCAAAAAGTCAGATTGTGAAACCACTGAAGGAAAAAATGTTTCTAAGACTAAAAATTGTAAATCTCTATATGTTGCCAATAACATTCACTTTAAATTCATTTTTCTTTCGAAGTCGTCGTACTTTTGTGTGAGCTTTATTTGTATGCAGGTGGACACACTGTGATGAGCATGTACATGTGAGTGTGTCGTTGTTTGTGAATGTGTGTGTGTCGCCTCTGCTGATTTTAGGTGCTGATTTAAACTGGCCAAGCAGCTGTAGCTGTTTGATGTGTTGTTTTCCTTCACAAAATTACAGAGGTATGGTTAAGGATAAGGCTAGGCCTGTTTGTTTTCTGTCAACACGTCTCATGAAAAAATCAAATGAAAGAGAAGAAATCCACATGGAAATGAAACAAAAAGCTCAGTTCATTCAAACTATTTTTCRCACACAAATCTGTAGTTTTATCCTGGAWAAAAAAGCTTTTACTGTGTTTGCTTCTCTCGTACACGTGCAGAGGTTTGAGTGAGAAAAACTGGGATGTGGAAAAAGTTTTTCAGAWTGGAGGTTTTTAAAAACTCTTTTGATCCATGTGGATTTGATAAACAGAGCGTTGTGTAGCAGCCTGTTGTGTGACAGCTCACAGCCACTTTCTGTAAGAAAACCAACAACCAGTGGATCTTCTTTGTCTTTCCTGCCCTTTTATGATCCTCCTGTCACCAAACAACTTTATCGATGTGCTAAAAATAACCTCCCGTACCTTCAAAACCTGAGGGGGAAAAATAATAATAATAATAAAACATTAAACGGTAAAAAGCTACAATTGTTCTGGGACAATCTTTAGCCAAGCTAAATGGTTTTTGTATTTTTGTGCCGTTGGTGCTGCATTAACATTTTGAACATTTTTATTAGAAGTGAACGGACTGAGCTTTGTTTGAAACATGAAGCAGTGGTCAGTTTTTTCTAAGTAAACAGTAGTTAGTATTTTTTATTGAACATTTTTACATTTCAATGATCTAAAATGTGGGTTTATGTTTAGTTTGTCCACAGTGTGCAAATGTTCAGGTTTATGTAGAAAATTGCTGTGCACAAAATATAGTTTCTTTCAGCTTCCAAGTTGTGTACAACCTGCAGAAGCCACATCTTACCTGCTAACTAACGGCTAACTGTCTACTAGCTGTGGTGGTACACATGTTCACAGATGTCCTGCCTACACACACACACACACACACACACACACACACACACACACACACACACACACAGCTCACACTGTCAGTCACACTATGACACTTTTTACAAACACTTTATTGACTAATTAAAACAAAACGTATTTTTAAAATGCATATTTGAACATACAGCCACTAGGGGGCGCTTGCCCTTTGTGGCTTCAACATCCGGCTTCTGGTCCTGTGTCTAATTAACATTAGAATTAGTTAATCATAATGTCAGTAGTTTTTCACAGGACACAAAGAAAAGTATGATCTGGTAGGGAATGATTTTAGACATTATGCTAGTAGTTTGTTTAATTAAACTAGTAATTTGAGTGATATAGTACAAAGCTAATCTGCAGGGTTATTTCTTATATCAAAAGCACTTAACTGTACTTTATTTTAATTAAATGGCCTATTATTTGTTCTTTTTTTACAAATATTGTTAGTATTAACTAAAAGTGTGTTTTTTTTGTGGGGGGGGTTGTAACAAAATAAAACCAGAAGCCTATAAATACAGTCAATTTCAGTGCATTCTACTAAGAAAAGATGTAAGTAAGCTGCAGTTCTTATTACTGTAGTTAAAGACTAAAGAATCAAACAGGAAATAGAATATGGGAAAGCAAAATGCTGCTATGGAGAACTCCCAGAGTATACCATCATAAGCTGTATGTAAATGTTAGCCATTGGTCATTGGAGAAACACTTGGCATAAATAGATTTTGGAGATACAGTATATTCATGGAAGAACAGTATTTTGAACATATCTTCATGCATGTGTTTTGTTAGGAAAGCTGTCAGTGTGTGCAGGTCTGCATGTCCACTCTTGTCCCAAAGACTGGTTGGTGTTTGTAAAAGTCTTTTATCTGTTGTGCCTTAAGAGAAATTTGAGTGTTCTGTCATTTTCTCAAGTGCCTGTGTGATTCTGACAGTTTGTCACTTTACCTGCACCTTTCCTCATCACCACTGAGATTAACCAGCTCACTGGTAAAGTTTTCAGCCATTCTAGGAAAAGTCTTTTTCATGAAATGTCGAAGAGTTGTGGTTGTGAGCTTGATTCAGTGGTCAGTGCTTGTGCAGTGTAATGAGATTGTGGACAGTCACTTCAACCATCCCACAAACAAAGAGCATCTACAACACAAATCAAGCAGTGTCAAAAAAGAGCTCTGGAAAGATAATAAAATGTTTCACTGTGAAAATCTGCTGCAACCAATATTTTTCTCATCCATGATCAGGTCCACAGCAGTCTTTTTATTCGATAGATAGATAGATAGATAGATAGATAGATAGATAGATAGATAGATAGATAGATAGATAGATAGATAGATAGA